TAGCATAATTTCCTTGGATTCTTTCCATTTCTTCATTGTTGATCAACAACTCCTTTTACTGTATCCTTTCTCCTCTTTCTCAGCTCACACACATGCACTATCTAGTTTTGCTTCTTTGCAAAATACCTATGTTTCCTTTCCTTTTATAGACTGAATTGAGGGAAAGAAATGAGAATGGCTAGCACTGTAAAGCTACTCACATGCTATAAGAAGAAATTGAGTCAAAATGTGAATAACGACATGAACATGAGGTTTTAATTCAGCATGTGTCGGTTTTGTGGTGGAATCCAATGATGGTGGAATCCAATGCCACCTCATTAATCACAAAATAGTGTCCTTGGAAATAGCCGCCCCCTGACTCAAAATTTGGGTTTACCAAGCCATCCTTTACCTTTCAAATTATCAAACTAAGTCCCCTTTAAGGACTCTTATTTAATATGTAAACAATTAAGGATATCTCAATACATATGGAGCTAAGTGTTCATGACAAATACAACAATTAGGTATTAGGAACCTCTAAATATTAGTATACATTGGGATATTAATAGAACTATATAATAACATAGAAAGCTTAGTTGGGAGTTTCCTATTGTTACTAGCAATTACATTTATTTTACTATTCAATCTTGGCGCGCGGGAGATCAAAGGACTTGGCAATATAGTGTCTCCTAACACAACAATGCTCTATCCAAACTCAAGTGGCCTTCTAATCAACAGACGGATGAAAGGTATCCATCTCCATGGCAAGTGCAGTGTCTGAACCATCAAATTTTACTTTGGTAGCTTGGCCATCATCGAGTGCTTTTGAAGTCAACTTCCTCTTCCCTTTCTTGTAAGCCCTATATTTTTAATTCCTTGGCCCATGTCTTTATTTGCATAATTTAGAAGTATGAGTCCTTTTGTGAAGATGAGCTATTAGTAGGATTTAAATTAGAATTATGATTTTATGACTCTATTTGTAATATTATGCATTTATGGAGAACATAGAGGTAATTAAAGAAAGTTAAGGAGAATTATCTTGTCTTGGTCAAATGTAGTGGGTTGGACTTAGATGATTACATTAGAAGTTTTGGTACTTAAGTGGAGGAATTAGCATAGTTATTAATTAAGTACCTTTGCTTTGGAATTGGAATTAATTAGACCAATGGGAGAGTTGATTATTTTATACTTAATATTATTCAATAGAGGATTAGTTAAGCCGAATTGTAATACCATTCAATTTTATAGATTGCTTTATGACCTTATTTGAAAGAATTAAAAGTTGGGTCCTTAAAAGTTCATTAATCAATAGTTTGAATCCTTGGTAGAAAACGGAGAAATAAAGGGTTTTAAGTATTGGTTTTGAGTTTCTCAGAGTCTTAAGGATTTAGAGCCTTTTTTTTTTTTTTTTTTTTTGAAAGAATTAAAAGTTGGGTCCTTAAAAGTT